ATTTATTTAGTCCTTTTTTTTTTTTTTTTTTTTCCTTTTTGTCTTTTTCCGTGTCCGGCAACAGATTGCAACCCTCAGTGTCGTCCCCGCACCAGACCGGGACCAGCAACGGGACCACAACCCTCGGTGTTGCTCCCGCGCCTCACTCAGCCAGTGAGCGGGAACCGGTCTGGATGTGGGATCCGAACCCTCGGCGGGAGCGCCGCCGCGCTTCCCAAGAGGCGCACTATAGCAGTGCGCCACCGGGCTGGCCCTATTTAGTCCTTTTTGAGACCGGCCGTACCGCGCTCAGCCAGTGAGCGCACCGGCCATCCCTATATAGGTTCCAAACCCACGGTGGGAGCGCTACTGCACTCCCAGCGCTGCACTCTCCCGAGTGCGCCACGGGCTTGGCCCTTTTAACAACTGATTTTATAAGGTCCCTTATGTTTTGGAGATATATTGGTCTTTATGCATTTTAGGCTTTAATATTTGTATTAGTTTCCTAGGGTTGCCAGAACAAATAGCCACAGTCTTTCTGGCTTAAAACAACAGGAATTTGTTCCTTCACAGTTCTGGAGGCCAGAGTCTGAAATCAAGGTGTTAGCAGGGCAGTGCTTCCTCCATAGCCTCTAGAGGAGAATCCTTCCTGGCCTCTCCCAGCTTCTCGTGGCTCCTGGCATTTCTTGGCTTGTAGCGGTATTACTCCAGTCTCTGCCTGTGTGTTCACTCTGCCTTTTCCTCTGTCTGAAATTTTCTTCTCTTTTCTCTTGTAAAGACACTGGTCATTGTACCTAGGGCCCACCCTAAATCCAAGACAATCTCAAGATGCTTAAGTTAATTATGTCTGCAAAGACCTTGTTTCAGAATAAGGCCACATTTTAACAGGTACTGGGATTAGGACTTGGATATATTTTTTGGAGGGGACACAATTCAAGACACTGGAGTGTTAAAAATACGTTATTCAGTGAAGAATATAAAACTATCCATCTGTATTTTTTTCTAAGTACTTTAACATCTAATCTTTAAGTCATCTGGAATTTATTTTGATGTAAGGGAGAGTTGTAAGTTTATTTTTGCATAATAATGTTGGCAAATCACCTAATTAATAAATGATGGCATTAGGATTTGAACCTATGTCTTTCTTATTCCAAAGTCAGCATTTTTTCTTTTATATAGAACTACCTCCTTTTAGTATTTTAACTTTGAAAAGGTAGTTTTTTTGAAGGCAGACCTTGTTAAGAACAGTATTCTGGCTTCCTTGAAAATGGCTCCTTTTTCCTTCCCCCTGTTGGAAGCCCAAGAGAGTTTTCTTTGATATTTAGTGTGAGAACCTGTTTGAGCTCCTGGAAATAGAACTCAGAAAAGCATGGGAGGGCCCCCCATGACTGGTCCTCGTGGAGTTTTTAAGTCTCAGACTGGTTCACACTGAGGCTGCAGCAGTTCATCAAGTACAGTTCAGGTTATCCTACCCTGGCAATAGTTACTGTGGAGGTTTCTGCTTGGGAATTTATACTGCAGTATAAATGAGTATGTCGTGATTCTCTGTATGTGCCTGTCTCTTCAATTTTGGAGATTTGTCCTCTGACCTCACTTCTCTTCCAGATCTTAGAAGAGTTGTTGATTTGTTAGTTTGTTCATCTTTCTATTTGTTGTTAGGATGGAGTGGCAACTCTCAAGCTCCTTAGGTGTGGATCTAGAAAATGGAATTTGCAACCACATTTTTTAA